ACAATCACATTTAAGGTCTGCAACCTGAAAAATAATCTCCATAAAAATGTAAGGATGACAGACTAAAGGGTTTTATAGTTTGCTGTTCATGGTGATTTTTTTTTTAATGTGAAAAGTTACAACCGTTTTCTCTGAATCCTAAAACTTGAAAACTCTTTTATCTCAACAGCATACTCCTTTTTCTTAAGCCTTCATGTATATTATGCTCCCAACAGAAATCCTGTATATGTTCAAATTATTGAACTTTGCTGTTTATAAACTGCTATGTACTTTTAGCAAACCACCATAATAATGCCCACCATGACCTCATTATTTCTAAAGTAGACTTTTCTTAGAAGGCTGTTTATCAAGCTTTCTCAACTCCTATGGAATCATTAGAACTAGTCTCCGCATTTCAATTCAGTTCTAGGCATTTGTGAAACTCCACTTTCCCACTCTCCCTGAACCTAAGTCTGGCTATGAGACCTGCTGTGGACAGTGCAGTGTGAGAAGTGCGTGTGCCACTTCTGTTGTGGCACTTGACGAGGTCACAGATGAGTCTTCATGTAGTACATCCTTAATTCCTACGCCCACTACCACACCTGTGTGAGGCTCTGCCTGATGCCTGGGAAAATACTTCATGTTGACCTTTATTACACATGTATCATAAGCAAGAAACAAACTAATGACAAGACACTAAGGTCTTGAAGATACCTGTGCTGTGTAATGAGTGTGACGGTTAATACTGTCAATGTGACCACCTCTAAAATCACTTAGGAAGTAAGTCTCTGGGCATGTCTGTGAGGAAGTTTCTAAATTTGGCTGGAAGATCCACTCTAAATGTGGCCTGGCATCCTGGACTGAATAAAAAGGAGCTAAGTATTTACATTCATCTCTCTACTTCCTGACTGCAGACACAACATAACCAGCTGCCTGACTCCTGACACCATGCCATTCCTGCCATGGTTGACTGTACCGTTAAGCTGTGTGCCGAAATAACCCCACCTTCCTCCCTTAAGGTGCTTTTGTCAGGTATCTGACCATCACACCACTAAAAGTAACTAAAACAGTAAGCTAGAGCCTGCATATTCTGCCTGAAGCTGTTTTCCTGCTCTCTCTACCTGAGGTAGCTACTCCCATCCTTTCAAAGCCTTTGAACGTGGCCTTCCCTTAATTCTCACAAACCATGGTAAGGAGACAAGCTTGTTTCAACCATTGGGATTAGGGAGCACACCCATACTTCAGCCCCAGCTCTGATCTGCCATCTAAGGTTAAGGACCACACTTGGTACTATAGCCCCAGCTCTGGCTCACCACTTAAAACTAGGCAGCCTTTCTATATGTAGGCCTCAGTTCTGGTTTGTCATCTGAGGTTACAGAGAGTACTCAGACTTCCAACCTACCAACCAAGTCAGGGAGTCAGGACAGACTTCAGCCTCACACCTCGTCTCTACCCAGTACTTACCCCCCTACTGTTTTTCCTTATTTCTAAGGTCAATATACCAGGCCACCTTGGTCCCTACACAAAAATACAAGGAAGATGAAAAGACAACTTGTTGCCTCCAAAAATTACAACCCTGTAAGTAATGGCTCTCAATGAAAAAGACCTAGATGAAATTCCTGACACACAATTCAAAAGTATGATTACAAATATGTTCAAAAAACTCAAGGAGGACACACATTCCAGGGGACTAGAAGCAGCTGGATGAAATAAAGAAGTTAATTTCGGGGTAAGAAAACAGACTCAATAAAGAGAACTACTGAAGAAAAGCCAAACCAAAGTGATGGGCATGAAAATAACGCACTCATAGCTATGCTTAGACACGTGTAGGTACGACACTCATACACATGAAAAATTAAATGAAAGTAAGTCAAATAAAAAGTTTAGTGGAAATTCTCACCAACAGAATGGATCGTGTGGAGGATAGAATCCCAGGGTTTGAAGGCAAATTAGAAAAACTGAATCATTCAGTGAAAGGTCAGTGATAAATCTTTAAAAACTGTGTAAATGGAAGATCTTTGGGACAGTAGAAAAGGCAACTGATGGATTATGAGAACGGAAGTTGAAGATTTTCATGTCAAAAGAATAGGAAATATTTTCACTAAAACCATAGAAGAAAATTTCCCAAATCTAGGAAAACAGATGCCCATCCAGATATAAGAGGCTCACAGTCCATCAAATAGACAGGAGCAGAAAAGAAACTGCCCAAGTCCTATCACATCATAGTTAAAACATTAACTATACACAACAAAGAAAGTATACTGAAAGCTGTAAGAGACAAGGACTAACTGAAACAATAGCAGGTCCTCAGAACAGCCACTGGCTTTTCAGAAGGGCTTGGGAAGATGGATTTCAAATTCTGAAAGATCCTAACTGGCCACCAAGCCTAATGTACCTGGCAAAGCTGTTGATCCTAATTGAAGAAACAAAGAAAAACTTTCCATGACAAAAGTAGGCTAAAGGAATTTATGACCACCAAGCCAGCCCTCCAGAGGATTTGGAAGGAATGCTTCAGACTAAAGAGAAAGATGAATATACTCGAGACTACAAAGTAAAAAACAACAGTAAGAGTTATACAAAAGAGAACACCAAAACTACAAAAAAAAAAAAAAAAAAAATCACTGAAATGATAGGAATCAATACTGACTCTCAATATTAATGGTCTCAACTCACCTATGAAAAGACAGAGCCTAGAGAATGGATTAGAAGATAGTGCCCTTCCTTCTGCTGCTTCCAAGAAACACGATGTCATCAAAGACACACTGTTTCAGGGTGACAGGATGGAAGAGGTCTTCCAAACAAATGGGAACAACTAAAGCAGACGTCACCACTGTATCATCTGAAAAAACAGACTGCAAACCAGATCTGTCACAAGAGACAAGGAAGGTCATGTCAAACACATGAAAGGAGCAGTCCACCAAGAGGACATCAGAATTCTAAATATATACACACCAAGCACAGGCTCACTCAACTTCATAAAACAAATACTACTAGATATGAATCAAATACTACTAGATAAATAATCTCAACAGTAATAGTTGGTGACTTTAGTATTCCGCTCTCACTATTAAACAGATCAACCAGACAAAAATTAGTGAAACACCGAAATTAAATGACTCCATAGATTGAATAGAGCCAACAGACATTTATAGAATATTCCACCCACATACTAGAGAATATAGATTCTTCTCAGTAACTCATGAAACTTTACAGGTCGCAACAAAAATAGGAAAACTGAAATAATTCCTTTTATTCTGTTATTACAGTGGAATAAGACTACAAATCAATAGCAAGAGAAATTACAGAAAATATACAAACTCACGGAGATTAAACAGCACATTCCTGAATAGTGAGTGACCGCTGAAGAAATCAAGAAGGAAACTTTTAAAATTCCTAGAATTGAATGAAAATGAAGACACAAGACGGAACCCTATGGGATGCAAAGGAGGTTGTCCTAAGAGGGAGGCTTACAGCGCCAAGCACCTACATTAAGAAAAAAGTCGTCCTAAGAGGGAGGCTTACAGCGCCAAGCACCTACATTAAGAAAAAAGTTGTCCTAAGAGGGAGGCTTACAGCGCCAAGCACCTAAATTAAGAAAAAAGTCGTCCTAAGAGGGAGGCTTATAGCTCCAAGCACCTACGTTAAGAAAAAAGCAAAGATCTCAAACACACAACCTAATGATGCACTTTAAGCAACAGCAAGAACAAACTGAATCCAAGCTCAGGAGGCAGGAAGAAATAACTAATAGGAAATAACCAGGGCAGAAACTGATGACATAGACATGAAAAACAAAACAAAACTGATACAAAGAATCAATGAAGCCAAGAGCTGGTTCTTTGAAAATATAAACAAGACTGACAAACCATTAGCCAAATTAACCAAAAGAATGAGAGAAGACACAAATTGATAAAATTAGAGACGAAAAGGAAGGTAAGAATGAAATCCTGAAAAACCTAAGGATAGTGCTTTAAAAAATTATATTCCACTAAACTGGGAAAATCTAAAAGAAATGGATGAATTTCTGGATGCATATGACCCATAATTTATTATAAACAAATTATGAACACATTCAGCAAAGTAGCAGGATATAAAATTAACATACAAAACTCGGTAGCCTTCATAAACACTGATGACAAACACTGAGAAAGACGGGAAACAATCCCATTCACGACAGCCTAAAAAATTAAAATAAAATAAAAAGGATACCTTGGAATAAACCTAACCAACTGGAGATTCCTTCATGATTAGCTTTCCTAGTGCTGAAAGATGCTACCGGGGGGGAGAAAAGTCATCAACACTTTCTCAGCTGTGAATTCTGCAAGCTACAATAATGACCTGCCAAGCATGATGTGCCCTCTAATGTACTAGCAGCATGATAGGTGTGGGGCTAACAACTGCTTTGACTGGATGTGAGACCCACTCCGCAGGAGGGAATTCGTGACTGGTTCTGTAAACCTGGTTAAGAGTCTGTGGCTGGGGGGTCCTAGGGCCCAGGTGGGGGGCTTACTACTGCTGCTTTGCTAAATGGTCATACTGTCAAATTGCCTTCTCAATGCTCATTTTTATACCCACGGAAAATGCACCTAGTCTTCATCAGAGAAGCTTCTTACTGCAGCTGGTGGCCATTAATGCAGAACCTGTAACTAGCCAAGGTGCCAAGAACACGACGGTGGAGTGCTTCACACTCTAAGGCTCAGGGAACATTGTGAAAGAAGGAACAGAAAGAATGTAAAAGCCAGAGAATGGGGAGATGTGCAATACATATACTTGCACACCCACACAAAGTAAGTAAAATGTGAAAAAAAATTAATTTGTTTTGATGTTTTGAGACATAGTCCAAGGTGGCTTCCAACTTGGAATCCTTGTGCCTTAAGCTCCTCAGTGCTGAGATCACAAGCATGCATCACGATAAGTTAAAATAATTTTTACAGCCATATAGTTTTCTTAGGTACATTACAACAGGGAACAGTAAAGCAATGCATTCTTTACTACAATTATTAAAGCATAAATACAATTTTTACCTTCCAATTGGTTTTTGCTCTGCTGAGGCACGCAGTCCACACAATCTGTATTTAGGATGCTCATCTTAATCTGCTCACTAGAAAATAAGACAACACAAGTATGTCAGGTACCGTGGATCACCCTACATATTCTAAGAAGGAAACCACTCCTGTTAAAAACTTATTACATGCTAAATGCTAGTCTATGGACTTAATGTACTTTTCGGGGGGTCTTTTTGAGACAGGGTCTCCCTGTAGCCCCAGCTGGCCTTGATCACACAGAGATCTGCCTGCCTCTGCCTCCTGAGGGCTGGGATTAAAGGTGTGTGCCACCATGTAAAGTCTTGTTTTGTGGCCCAAAATGGCCTAGAACTCACAATACTCCTGCCTCTGTTGCCCAAGTACTCATATTAGTGGCATGGACTACTATGACTGGCTTAATATATGTTATTTAATTTAAATCTTACAATACTTGAGTGTAGGTATGCTACTCCTCCTAATAGGTAACAGGAAACTATTCATCCTGACAGGTAGGAAACTAGTCATCCTGGTAGGTAATAGGAACTAGTCATCCTGGTAGGTAACAGGAAACTGCTCTACTCCTCCTCTGATAGGTAACAGAAAACTGCTCTAGTCATCCTGATAGATAACAGGAAACTGCTCTGGAAGTCAAATTAACTTGCCAATAATGAAAATGGACGTTTCCCTACCATGAGCGCCACGGCACTGATCACAAACTTATTTGTCTGAATTATTTTCTGTTTGCTTCGATGAAGCTGGGCTGTGACGAGAGAACACAGCCCCACTCTGAGGTGCAAACGCTGGAGATGAGGTAATGAGCTCTGCACTCACGGAAGCAAGTCGAACTAAGACAGCAGCTTATGTCAAGGCTTTACAGCCTGTGGCAAAAATCAGCAGCTGAGAATGAGTGATGAAAATCATGGCAATATATTGCCACACTTTAAAATTTTCTAAAAATAGTTATTTCTGGACTTAGAAGATAGCCATTAAAAACAATAATGCTAACTATCAAATAAGATGCAATATACCAGATTTCTTTACTCCAAGTTCATGTTTCCATTACACTTCATTGAACCCAAACTTGAAAAATTACTTCAAATAATTAACAGGAAAGGACAGTGTGTGCCAAGGGTGCAGCTTGGGAGGAGACTGCTCGCCTAGCCTCAACAGAATCATGCAACTAAATAAAAGCATATATTATCCTTGCCTACTAGCAATGTGAATTGTACATAACACTTTCAAAGCATGAAAAAAAATCTTTAAAAAACAAAAAGGGGCTAGAGATGGCTCAGCAGCTACAAGCCATTTCTACTCTTCCAGAGGACCAGAGTTCAGGTCTTCAGCTCCCGAAAATCTGATGCCTTCTTCTGTCCTCCACATGTGCCCTCACACACGGTATACATTCACACAAGTGTGCACGCGCGTGCACACACACACACACACACACACACACACAAATAAAAAAAAACTAAAAATTAATCTTTAAAAGCAGAGTGAGGAGAAAATTGTTCACTGTCGGCGTATTACCCGAAGGCTGCTTCTTTGACAGCACTGGTAGCCATTTCTGTCCCATTTCCATCAGTAACAGGCGAATCCAAATTAGCTGATTCATTACTGACATGATCACTGCTTTCATACCCAGACTCCGTCCTTTGCATCTGCCAGTTGCTACCACGAGCTTTACCCTCTGTGAGGCCTGAATTGCTCTCTGCTCCTTTTCCGCTAGATTCAAGGGAACTTCTACTTCCCGCCTCCTGTTTCACTTCATCCTCATAGATGGTCACCAACCCTTTTGGTTTTGAATTCTCTTTTGGCCAGTTATTGACACTCTGATCTCTGCTATACTTAGGTTTGGGAATGCCATCCGACTTAAGCCTTGGACTATGCTGCTTCTTTTCACTTTCACTAAAAACACTGTCGACATTCAGTGTTTCTCTCATGGGTCTCCAGCCGCGGTTCCGACTCTTAGTTCTGTTGCTGTGGTTGCTTCCTTTGTCCCTTGAGTCTTGGCTGCTGTCAGTATCGTACCCAGTGGCACTGTCACTCCTAACTTTGCCTGCTGATTTCTCCCCTGGAACATGAGTCTGTGATTTGCTTGAACTTATTTGTCCAGACGCTCGACTCTCATGGGCAGCTCGGTCATGTTTACAGGGTCCTTTGCCTTGGCTGTGGTAGAGATGTGGGTTCCCTTGTTTAAAGCCATTAGGGGCAGGAGCTGATCCAGACTTGAAATGTGAGAGGTCTTCATCAACCAAATCTTTAAAAGTAAGTAACAGCACACAAAACATAAATGAACCCCCTGAGAGCTCTGTAGCCACAAGCCAAACAACCTGCTGGAGAATGTTAAAGCAATCACAAGCAAATAATAAAAATTAAAATGTATTACATACTGATTTGGATTAAAAATGGCTGTATCAGAAGTTAGATGTGGTGGTGTACACCTGTAATCCCAGCATCTGGGATGCTAAAACAATGAAGCAACAGGATCATGAGTGTAAGGCTAGCCTGGTCTAAATAGTGAGATCCAATTTCAAAACTCTAACCAACCAATAAAAGTGCTGTTTCATTTATTTATAAATGAGAGATAATTATAAATTAATTGGGCTTTTAAAAAAGATCCCTAAGGTAGATCATGTTTTAAAAATATTAAGCATATTGTCTTACTTATAATTAACAGAAATCATAAAAAAAATTTTCTATGTCTTATATTGGTACATATTTTTAAAGTCCTGAACCAAGTGCTGCTGAGTGTGAGGAATGAGACAGTCGCTGCCTGTGAGGTGCCCTGGCGAGGTCGTCCAGAAGGCAATGGAGCCATATCTGTCAAAGCTAGACATGACCATGCCCTGAGTCAGCACTCACCTCACAGAATGTTATGCTACGACTACACACTAAAAACATACAAAGTCATATGATGGATGTCACTGGAGCAAATCCCTTAACTCAACATTTAAAGTTGACCAGTACCACCAATTTACACTGAACCCATAAAACACCCATAAAAAATTTAAAAAATAAGCATAACGCACTGAAAGCCACAGTACTAACAACGAACAGACGCAAGGCACAAAGCCCTTTGCTAGCCTTGCTTTGTTTGTTTTTGTAGTGGGGATCAAACCTCAGGGCCTGGAACACGCCAGCAGGCAAACGCTCCATCAGGAGTTACATCTCCTACAACCTTCCTTCTGATTTTATTGTACATGAGTGAACTGCATTTATAAATAAATTTAAAATAGTAAAACATAAACACTAATCTCCCAGATTACAGAGTAAGAACCAGGAAAATCTGGCATGAGTATAGAGACACTGAAGAAATCATAAGAAAATTATAAATATACAAAATACAATTATGTAAATATATACACAGAATACTAAAATTCTAAAATTCCATTTTAAAATGAGATTTTTAGCAGGTTTTAAAGTGACTGCTGTAAGCTCCTGACTCACCTCTGTGTCGGACTGCATCTTTCCTCTGTCCCTTTTCTAAATCTTTCCGTTGGGAAAAAAGTAGGTTTTTCTGTTCAATGGCTTTCAGAGCACATTCTCTGGAAATATCTTTTATCTTTTCTCTTTGATCATTGTGGCTTAACTTAACTGTAAAAGAAATCATTCTTGTAAAGATATTCATCATTTTTCAAGTTGTTCAACAAAAGTAAAAATTGAACTATAAAAAAAAAAATCCCATTTTTTTCAAAAAACAAAAAACAACGGGCCAGCAAATGGCTCAGTCCGTAGGGCACTTGCCAGCAAGCCTGATGACCTGATTTCAATTCCTGGGACTCACATGATGTAAGAAAACAATTCCCACAAGTTGGCCCCTGATTTTCAACACACTTTAGCATGCACACACACACGTACACACACCCACACCCACATTCACGAAACTATAATTTAAACAACCAACAAAGTACATGATGAACTCGTTCTGGTGCTTAACTAAACATTCAATACGATTCTTCTTGACACAGGAGACCTATATTTTCTTTAAAAACTTTTTGAACAGTCCCTAAAGCCTATCATATGTAAAGAAAAAAGAAGAAAACTGCTACTTTGGGGTAGAAAGGATTTTCCACAGCCAATTCTAAGTGCTCTTACTGCATTCTCTGAGGTGAGTACTGTGTCCATTTCACGTAAGGGACAAAGGCCTTGAAGCTGACTGAAGATTACAGAGCCTGCACATGTACAACCGGGGATGTGAACGCAGGCGGTCTTGTGCCACTGCAGACACTATCTCGAATTGGTCAGGCAGACCTACAGCTCTCAGAAATACAGACACCAGATGCCAATTTTTTCTTCAGGGGTAAGCAAGGCAGTTGAGTCTTTTGTTTGGATCTTACCAGGAATTACAGCTTCAGTAACCAAGAAAAAGAGAATGCTTAAATGTTTACACACAATGGACAGATGGCAATTTAAAAACGTACCTGGTCCTCTCCCTCCACTTGTCTGAATTTGACTCCGATTAAATGATGAAATGTCAGTTTGAAGTTTCTGATTTTCTCTCTGTTTTGCCTGACCACTAAATCCATTTTCCTTTGAATTTTCTGACTTATAAATTACAGGCTTTCCACATCCTTTAAAAGAGATGAAAACATGTAATTCCTTTCCTTTCCATCAGGAGAAAAGATGTCTGAATCATCTTTCCAGACACTGTTAGCACTCTAGACAAAACTGCTGAGAACTCCAGGACTGACATCACCTAGGCATTTCTATGCTTTGTAATGTACCCCAAATTGCCCTGTGGCTTCAGGCTTCTCCAGTTTATAAAACCATCTCCAATGTCAAATTGCACTGTGTTCCTCTTCGATGCTACTGACCTTCTAATTGGGTGATTCCTGAAAGTGCTCCTGAGCTACTGGCAGGGAAAGGTTCCTTTGTAAAGACTAACAAAACACACTAGTTATCCTGAACTTCACAAGAAACTCAATGGATATCCTCAACATTCATTTTATATTCAGTATGAAATATTATCAGCTGACTTTACTAGTTCAAAACACCAAAAATACTATTTAAAAGAATTACCCTTATTTTCTGGAACTGACTTGTAATGCGACCAGCTGACAACCTGCCTGAGTGCATCCTCAGTGGAGACTGCTGTGCCATCTGGATTTGCGTAGAACAGGAGCAGTGGCTGAAAGTGGCATCGGATGCACTTGGAGACCACATCTTTCCACCTACTTCCAACCTTTAAAAAAATCACAGTAAATAAAGACAAACTAAATCTTGTAGTATATTATATAAACAGGAAAAAAACTGATTTAATCTGTATTTCAAAAAATGTTAGATTTTCAGATGCCTGAAGTTCAAGTGTCATATGATTAGTTTTATTTAATAACTAGTCAAATAAAAATTTTATGCATTCTCATTTAAAGAAAACAGATAGGTAGGAGCCAACAAGATGGCTCAATGGTTAAAAGTACTTGCTGACAAGCCTGACCTGAATTCAACCCCCAAGACCACAAGATGGAACGAGAGACCTGACTCCCAAACACACACACACACACACACACACACACACACACACACACACACACTAATTGTAAAAAACAACTGACACTCTATATTAGGACAATTATAAAATTTTATTTATAACTATCTCACTCTACAGCCCAGGCTGCTCAAACTCATGGCAATCCTCCTGTTTCAGCCTTCCAAATGTTAAAACTATAGGTGTGAGCCACCATGCCCCGCCTAATGATCAAACTCTAAGCAGCTTTCCACATACATGCTTCACTGACTTTTGACAAAGGTGCTACGCAATTTAATAGAAAAATAAAAGAGTCTGTTCAACAAATGGTGCCAGAAAAACCAGAATAGCCAAATGAGAAAAAGAACTTTTACCTTAGTGCCCCTAAAACATAAATTTAACTCAGAATGGCTTTCCCACTAAAAGCACAAAGCTCATGCAGAGAAACCAAAGAGGTCATCTACACCTCAGGGAAAACAAAAATTTCTTAAGATACCAAACAAATTCACAGAACAAAAGAGACTCCAAAACAGATTTCATTAAAATTAATCAGTAATATCTGCTCATGGAAAAATAGTTCATTAAGAAACTAAAAGTAGGGGCTGGAGAGATGGTTCAGCAGTTAAGAGCATTTGCTGTTCTGCCAGGACCGGATTCAGTTCCCAGCACCCAATGGTGGCTGTATAGTGTCTGTAACTCCAGGTTCAGGAGAGCTGATGCTTTCTTCTGGCCTTAACAGGCATTGCATGCACATGGTATACTTAACATACACTCAGGCAAAACACTCATACACACAAAATCAAAATAAATAAAACACTTTAAAGAAATTATAGTAGCCAGGTGCATGCCTTTATTAATTCCAGCACTTGGAGGCAGAGATGGATCTTTGTGAGTTTGAGGCCAACTTGGTCTACGTAGTCAGTTCCAGGCTGGTCAAGGCTATATAGTGATTCTCAACTGGTATTTTTCACTGCTCCTGCTCTTGGTTACCCGCCAGAGCTGAATGGTTAGACCCAACTGCTGAAGACACTACATATATGAGTTGTAGAACCAAAAAGGAAAATCAAGCTGGTGCTGACTTCAGAGCCTCATCTCTTCTGGCTAGTGTTCATAGTGCTAGAAGGTGCTGGGCAAGCTACTGGAAGGAAACCATCATCATCATCATCATCATCATCATCATCATCTTTACCCAGCTGTGAATCCTGTAAACTACAATAACAACTGGCCTGGCAAGATATGCCCACCAGTACAATGGTAGCACAAATATTATGGAAGTATTCAATCACTCTTTACGTTGGTTTCCTAGGATGGAACCCATATCTGACATTGATATCAGGCTTAGGAATCTGAGGCTAAACAGGTCACAGGGCATAGGGGAGGACCTAATAATAGTTTTCTACTAAGTAATTACTGTATCGAGCTGACTCTTAATGATTTATTGTTATATCCATAGAATAATGCATCTCTCAACTCTCACCAGAGACATTTCTGTATGTACCAGCTGGTGATTAACACAGAAACCCACAGCTGATGAACATGCAGAGAACAAGAGGCTTCAGAGCACTGTATATCTGAATAGGATACTTGCATCAAACTTCTGCCCCTAAGGTTCAGGCATCATTGCAGAAGAGGAGGCAGAAAAACTGTAAGAGCCAAAGATGGTGGATGGCCACAAAGAGATAGTTTTCCAGAAAGCCAGTCAGTTACCCATATGAGCTCACAACAATGGTGACAACATGTACAAGTCCCAGCAATATCAAACCAAAAAAAATCCCAGCATAGACATAAGAAAGTGGGTAAGAAGCTCCAACGCCACCTAAGGAAATTGTGGCAACAGATGGCTTCTGGGGGGACAGAGACAGTCTCTGTGAAGCATGGGACTCTTGGTAGGTTAATCAGGCTCCAGTGAGTAGACCCGCACCAATGGAAATTTGGAGATACAAATTTGACTTTTATAGATCTTATTATATACAATAGAATACATTAAATTGGGATGTGGCGATATAGGGGAAGGGATCTACCATCAATAAATTATATTGTATGAAAATCACAAAAACTGAACAAAAAAAGTCTTGGTGCCTGAATGATTGTGCAGAGGAAAATCCTCTTTTACGCCACAAGCAACTGAAAAAAGAATTCTAGAATCCAGTCATGTATGTTTATTTGAAAGCCAAGCAATGAGCTAGTGAGATGGCAAAACAGGTAACGCAGCTGCTGTCAAGTCAGCTCCATCTATCGAGCTCCATCCCTGGAACCCAAGGGTGGAGGGAGAGAAGCGACTCCTGTAAATTGACCTGACCTTCACACGCACACTGTAGCACACGTGCAACACACACACACACACACACACACACACACAAAATGCATAAAATGCATTAAAATTTAAAAAGAAACAAAATAGGCATGGTGGCTCATGCCTGTAATCCCAGCGCTCAGGAAGCTAAGGACTGGAGTGAGTTTAAGGCTAGCTTGGGCTACATAGTGAGTTCTAGATAAGACTGGGCTATAATGTAAGACAGTTTCAAAAGGAAACAAATAATTTATCAAAAGATATAGCATATACTTAACTCCCTATAGGATACACAAAATGTGGTGTCTTAATCATCTATAGAGACATGCAGGAATGACTTTTATTAAACGACATAATCTAGACTAATGAATTTTAATTAACCGCAGTAAAACCATGTTCCTGGGTCTGATGACAGGGCATCTCCTTGGTAGCCTCAGTTTGGTACTTCACCCAAAAAGATAATGAATGGATGTGCATGTGCTTGAGAATAACACATCAAAGCTCTGCAAGCTGTGTGCCCATCCATTGAAAACAGTGGAGGTTTGGTGCAGGGATACAGAGAGAACATGACCCAGTGAAAGAAACAGGGTTCCAGAGTCAGTTCCATGGCACAGGGTGAGGACACAGGCAACTCCATTTGCACAGGTTGAGGGGACAAGAGATCCATAGGCACAGTTCTGGGAGACAGATGGGTCAAGAGATAGCTAGGGGGAATTTGTGACCTCTAAGCTTGGGCCCATTCTAAAAACTTAATGGAGCTGGAGTGATCACTCAGTGGCTAACAGCACTGGCTGTTCTTGCAGAGGATCTGGGTTCAGTTCCCAGTACCCACATGGCAGCTAATAATGATCCAGTTCTAAGGAATCTGAGATCCTCTTCTGACCTCCGCAGGCACTGTACAACATGGGTGCACTTACATATATGCAGGCAATACATTCATTCACATAAAATAGTAACAACAAATAAAATTTTTAAGTTAATTTAAAAGTCAGGCTTTTATTTTGTTCAGCATAGTTGAAATGGTGGTGTAATTAATAATATCCACAGAGAAATGGTAAAGCAACTGTGCTTAAGATAACAGAGAACATCACTGGGAGTTACGTATTTGTATACTTAGCCAAAATTTCATTACTCTGGGCTGGGGATGCAGCTCAGTAGTAGAGAACCTGCCTAACATAAATATACTAATCACTCTGCGCTTATCCCCCAAAATCAGTATTCTAGAAATGGACTATAAACTTCAAAGATTTAACACAAAGTTTATATTTACATTCGTTACCTTAATAATTATATATTTTATACAGTATTCTGTTATGTATTCCTGAAAAACATAAAACATCACAGTAATTACTGCAGCTAAAGAAAGTCTCACCTCTTTCACATGTGCATCATCAAAAAATACCCACTTAGAACTCTTGGTGTGAAAAGCAAAGGCACAATAGTGTCGGCTGGTGTAGCAGATCATACCAACAAGGTGAAGTTCACTATCTTTGGCATTTTCATCAGTAACCCTATAAAAAAGCTATTTAAAAAATGTTAATGTGTATTAACTATTGCATCTTTAAAAAGACAATCAATAATTTGATGAATCGTGTATCTGAATTTCTATGAACAATATTGCACATACATGTTGGCTCTAATCAAATGGCATTATTACTGAAGGTACTACTGACACTCAATTGTTAACGAAGTCCCACAAACAGAATTTATGCATCAGTACAATAACAGTACCTCCAGCAACATCTATGGCTGACACTTTACATATATCCAAAATGTGACAGAAATTACATAGTTCTTAAAGTTGTAACACACTTGAACAAATATTAAAATACTATCTAAAGCCTAATTAGTTAAATTTTTATATGTAACAAACCAATTCAAATACATTTGGAAAATAAAAAATCAAGTGTATTAGGGAGATCAATGGACATACGAATTTTAAGTCTAACGCCTCTTTCTAGACTAGTGTTTATCACATTCATGTGGAATGGAAACCACTGTATCCTCAATCATCACCACACAGTGAAAAAGCATGAGATGGTTTAATGTGCCACTAAAAGCCTTTTCTAGTCTATGGAAAGACATTACAGTCAGCCCAATTTAAAGTTACCTTTATCAAGGCACATCTGGATACCAGTATTTCCTTTAAAACTTTTGGCTCTTACAAGCAAAACTAAGCATATTATAATATATGAAGACATTTTAGAGGAATTTAAAAATAAAAGGGAAAAGAACACATACCCCAGGCAGGTAAAGATGTGTGGCTAAATTTCGAACAACATCTTCAGTTAAGTCAGAGTGCTCAGAATCCCAGACTAAACCAATTGTAACAATCTCTGGGCAATTCATTAAAACACGGCGAATTTTTATTTTTTGGCCACAGTTACTCTACAGAAAAACACAAGGAGCAGATTTCTAAATTACCAATTACTGCATATAGTGTATATTATATAATGACAACTGTAACATGTATTTGGAATTTTTTCTCAGTTTCTTAGAAATTGACTTCTAATCAGAAATTTGTCTTAACTACTAATTAACTAACAAGCTTATTTAATTTTTTTGCCATAATAGAATATTTTTATTACATAATTGCCAGGTATACACATGTAACACCTTTTCCTGTAAATTCTGATTGCACAGTCTTTTTAAAATTGCATTTTTAACTGCATTTTTGAAAATTTCATACAATATATTTTGATCATATTTAGACCCCCCTCCCCTATCTGCACCCTTTATAGCTGCACCACCAGATTTCATGTTCTCTGTCACATATATTAAGGTCCAGTGAGTTAAGTTTGTGTCCCCACATGTCTGTCGGTGTGCATCCATCCACTGGAGCCTGTTAATCTACCTAGTGTCCTACCCATAAAAGCTTTTTTAAAATTCAAACCATTCTCTGGTTATTTTAGATCTGTTAAAAATTCACCCTGAGGGCCGGGCATGGTGGCACACACCTTTAGTCCCAGCACTTGGGAGGCAGAGGCAGGTGAATCTTTGTGAGGCCAGGCTGGTCTACATAGTGAGTTCAGGTCAGCTGGGACTACAAGGAGACCCTGTCTCAAAAAGAAAAAGAAAAAAAAGAAAAAATAAAAAATTCACCCTGAAAAAAATAACAACAAAAAAAGCAGTAAGAAAGCCCTTAGTTACTAAGAACCGGATGTGGTGGCTCAACACTTAAAATCTCATTGTCTGGATGGCTGAGCCAGCCTAGAGTAGTGTTAGACTGTTTCAAATCACTGAGGTCATTTACAGTATTATACAAGGAAAAGATATCATTTGTCACATTCAAAGCAACAACAAAAAATGGCTTCTCTGTAGTTATAAATTTCAGAACTTTGAAAAAAATCCAATCAATATATGCCATTTTAAACCTTTAACGAAGAAATTTTTGTTTGCTTTGTCTTGGCAACAGTTCTCAGGTTCTTACTATGTTGCCCAGTCTGGTCTCAGACTTGTGGGCTCAAGTGACCTTCTTGCCTCAATCTCCTAAGAGCTGGGACTGTAGATGTTGGCCCAAGTTAAAGACTTTTTAAAGAATAGTGCTAAGATAAATAGCTCATGTGGTATAAAACTAACTCCAATAGAATTAAACAAAAATAAATTCCTAAAGCTAATCCTATACATGCAATTACTATTTACATGTAATTCTGAATGCCTATTGTCACGTTTACAAACAGCTGCAAACCAACACTACCCATGTGCACGTACAGGACACTTCCTATAGTCATCCGTTGTGTGTGCGGCTTGCAGTAGTTCAGCAAACATCTCTGGCTTAAATCGCTCATGCCTTTCCATCATTCTTTCAACTTCATTGCTAGAAAAACAAAAACAAAACAAAACAAAAAACCCAGACGCAATCTCAATCTAGCTGATGAGTTTACAGTAGATCTACAAACTACATTTGAAAACACTGACAGGTATACATCACTTTTTATGTCTGAAACCTAACCATAAAATGAAAAATTATTATAATTAGAGGGTATGTAATGAAAAATTAAGTCAAATATAAATTACCCCTTTTACTTATTGAAAAAAACATTGTTTTTGAGATGGCACATTGTCATTTAGCCCAGGTTGGCCTCAAACTTACTGCAATGTTCCTGTCTCAGCCCCCCATGAATGCATCACCATGCTTAGGTATACTTTTTGTTTGGGACTTCTAGAATCAGAGTAAGTTCTATGTGGAGGTAGTTCTAAGACAAATACTTTTTGTTCTAGTACTTAAGAAGTGATCTAAGCTAATTCTACTTTAACCAACACAAAATTGTTGGAAAGGCTCTAATTCTTTGGTTCAAAGTTCCCTGAAAAAAAGTGAACCTTTCAGATAGGAAACAGCTGATCCCACAGTTAAAGTTAAATCTAGTTAAAAGCTAGATTTGTGCCTTTTCCTCCTGTTATGAATATTACCCATTTTGTCAGAGCCAAGACAGACCTTTTCCTACATTAATGAGTAACTATGTCACTTTAGTCCACTTCCCTCACCTTTTAAAATACAAAGGCATTAGACACCTTTAAATAACTACTTAAACACTGTCAAAAGGAACTGTAAAAGCTTAAACACCATTATGAGTGTCCATTCTACATGTTCTGGTTCTAATAGTAATATAACTGTATATACTTCATAGTTCCATGTTTTAAACAATCTACAAGTATTCAATAACTAAAGGTAGTCTTCTAATATACCTTACAAGTATTCTACAAAAGGGCCGGGCACGGCGGTGTGGCACTAGGGAGGCAGAGGCACACGGATCTCGGTGAGCCTGGTCTACATAGTGGGTCCCAGGACAGCTGGGGCTAAAGGGATATAACTGTATATACTTCATAGTTCCATGTTTTAAACAATCTACAAGTATTCAATAACTAAAGGTAGTCTTCTAATATACCTTACAAGTATTCTACAAAAGGGCCGGGCACGGCGGTGTGGCACTAGGGAGGCAGAGGCACACGGATCTCGGTGAGCCTGGTCTACATAGTGGGTCCCAGGACAGCTGGGGCTAAAGGGAGACCTGTC